ACATCCAAGTGCCACACCGTCATTGGGCTTATGTAGCTTTTAAACAAGAGCCAGGTGACTAGTCTGAAACCCGCCACACCCGGGATAAAAGAAATATGTGATATGAATACAAGAACATAAATTTTCCAGTGAGATATGTTAGGACTTATCAAAAGAATAAATTACCGGTGGAGGACCAGAACTAGGAGCAGCGGACCGAAGGCTGCCTTGCATGTTACTATGCGTAGCCCGACCAATGCCGCCACCTCGATGTGAGAAGGTAAACCGACCAACACCAGCACCAGAATTCAAGCCCCGACCGCGACCTCGACCCCGCGCGTGAGAGTCATCAGCCTCAGATCCGAAAAGCGTCCCGGTTCCTCGACCACGGGGATGTTGCTTTCAAGAATAAGGGACAATGAATGCACTCAAAACAGAAGTAGATAAAAACAACACTCTGCTGGCATCAAGCTAGACCTAAGCTGAGTCGGAAAACAGACAGCAATCGTAAGTCGCTACCTCCGGATTTCATCGATTTATATCATAATAATAAACGATATGAAGTGTTTTCGACAGGGGCTTACCTTCACAAGACGGAAAACCACAAGAAACCGGGCAGGGTTTTTATTACACAGACCGCGACACTTGAATACAATCAAAGTGGACAATCCATGCATGATAACCCAATTATCTGAGTTCATACAGTGCAAGTAAATCACGGTACCACAAGACTTGGAACAAAGAAGTCAGTCCGAGGGCAGAATAAGATTAGCTGTCAGGGAGATGTGGTGTCATCTGTCGTAAACGTTTGCGACGGCGTTCCTTAGAACGGACGAGCGCCATCTGACCTCTACGACTACTCGGCTGGATGGTTACAGACAGATCCATTTCTTCCCATCAGCACTGCTCAATCATTTGAAGTCACTGAGAATAAAGGATAAACACTCAGAAAACCACTCAGGAGTTGCAGCTGACTCCATGAAAAGGGTTTATCTGCATCACCCATAAACTGTTGAAATGGAAAATTCCAAGTTTTCTCTACAAAAACGAGCACCATAAAAGTAAATTTAAGAACAACGATCACATAAAACACATTCGAGGAGATACTGAAGGATACTATTTGTAACATTAATGCGCGAGACAATCGAGTCTTTCATGTTACCTCGAAATGCGCAATGCCTAAATTTAATAAGCTTCCCAATGTAGATCATTATGGAATCATTCTACTTTATGTACACACTACCTGAAAGAAAGTAAAATAACCGTACATTTGAGGCCATATTACACACCAATGAGTTGTTAACGGCAATAAAAACTCGGATACTACTCACTCCAACTACAACGGTTGCACGTTCACTACCACTGTAAGAGCGTTGACGCCAGCCGGCACAGCCTCGAGACCAGTCCCCGTGACCACCGCGACGAGTGTCAGGTGCCGGCCTAAGGGGAGCATTGGTTGTGCTTGGCACATTTGAATCAGCGTCACCATGTGGGCCGCTGGGGTAGCGCTGGCGAGGATGAGCGGGAGTGTGATTAGGAGGCTGAAGCGGCTGTTGTTGGAGGTTGTTTCCCGAATTCCATTGAGCCCGACCTACCCGATGCCAAGCGTGAGACGTATCCAACTCTTCGGTGTCTAGATCTTCTCGGCTTCCCTCTTGAGTCCTGCGTATGAAGCATCAGTGATAATCGTATCAATATTTTTAATCCATGAGTCTAAGTTCAATTTCTGTACCAGTAACCTTCATAACGAAGAAATGGGTGGTAAGTAAATGTGGAATTGAATGAAATAAGAAGAAAATATCCTACGTTTCAGTTTCAAACTGAAACTGAAACAATGGTTAATAACGAGAACAACATACTTTTGTCCTTTTTGGTCATTGGACTGGGACACCTTGCGAGCGGTTCGAGGAACTAGAGATAAAGCAGATTGTTTTAAAAATCAGCAAGCTTACCCCTGAGAGGGACGGACACAACCGGCTGAGGATTTTACGAAACGAAGGGAGAAAACAGAAGATTGAATGAATGACTGAGTGTGTAGACTAACCAAAAGTAACAGAAAACAAGACAAAATTTCTTCAGTTTCATGAAAAATCCTTAAACTCAAAGCTTTCGAAACCGACTAAAACATTCAATGGTGGTTCCATTGCAATTTATTACATTTATTAATCGCAAAAAAGAAGTTCGACGGAACATTTGAATTACTTGTTTAAAGATGACATGGTCATATTTTTACATACATGGATTCTTTACTCAAAGAAGAAACTCAATCTCTATGGTGTCCAGCATCGACCTCATGTGGTTCGCCACCTTCAACCTTATACGAACAAGTGGCATTTGACTGCGTTTCAACTCATACAAGTAAAGTAAGTAAAAAAACTAAATGTTTTTCAAATCCTCACAGAGAATTTGTACCACTAGCATCTACAGTATTCAGCAGTGCTAGATTATGATTTCTTAATTTGGTATATCGTTGAAAAAGAATAGGAACTGAAGATGAAAGAAGTGTTATGTTGAACTCTTGTTTGTTGTCTGTATGCTAAATAAAGCCTGGATACCGGGCCTTTGTCTTCTATCTGTTCAACGGCTGGTACTATCGTCTTTCAAAGCAGAAAAAACGTCGGCGAAACACTTGGGTTTCGAAACGGGATTCCGAAGTCAAAACTTCGTGACAAAATGAGTTTTCACCAATTTATTTGCTCTCAGTCACTTTCACCTAATGATTATCATCAGCGTGCAGCGAAATAACTGGTAGCCGGCAGACTTACAATGCATGCAAAGTACGAATGTAAGGCCTCCTAAAGCCTCAGTATGGTCGAGTGTAGGTGTCTAGGGTTGGAGCTGGTCACCCTTCCCTTGCACCTCGTGAAATGCTCCCATACAACCAAGCGTCTCAGATAGTCTCTGCTGAGGAGTACGCAGACGACATTGTGCTACTAAGTGAAGATCCAGGTAAGTTGCAAGCATTTCTGGAGAACTTGAATGCCAGTGTAGCCATATTGGGTATGCGTTTTGCACCTTCAAAGTGGAAAATGCTACTACAAGACTGGGTTGGTCCAGCACCCAGCCTCACTCTCACTGGAGAAGTAATAGAGGAGGTGGATAAGTTTTGTTATCTGGGCAGC